GTCAAACTATGTTATTGTTTGGAATGTTTGGTCGCAAAATTGCAATTGTACTGAAAATATGTCGAAAGAAACGACATTGAAAGTTTCAATCAGGACCTCTAAATAACGACAAGAGGTAGAAAAGCAAGCGCGGAAAATGTAAATGACCACTGTCGTTTGTGTATTAAGTGTGCTTTGAAACTAAAATACGGGGCAATAGAGAAAATATCTTATATTCTTATATATCGTCGGAGAAATTATTTATTTAAGGCAAGCAAAAGAAACGTTACGACAGTGGCAAAACCTTGGCCGAAATAAGCCGAATTGACGGTTCAGTTCATTTATGAATCGAAGTTTATTCTACATCGGAACTATCCGACCGAGTTTGTAAACCGTGTGAGCGAAATATCCGAAATGCAAGCGAACTGATTGCCATAATCAAACGAGACATAAACGCGTTGCCTGTGTACGTTCGAACAAATAGACCGTTGTATATTAAAAACCTCAGTTGCCAATATGAACTGTCTCGTCTCCATAACGAAGCCGTGTCGTAACGAAAGCCTTAAAAAGTTCAGAAAGTGAAGCGGCTAATAGGCCTAGGCTGTTATAAAATCCGTTGCAAGAACGACTATACGGCCGTCTGTATCTATTCTCGTTATATTTTCTCGCGCCAACAAGAACAATGTAAAAATCAAGCTTTTCCCATAGAACGGCCAAAACATTCTTTCCAAGGAGTAAATCTTTAACTGCTCGCTTGCTCGCGTTTCGACTTTCGAGAAGCGTTCAGTTTTACAACAGCTATTGTTATATAGCTAGTGTGAACACCAGAGGAGGAATGAGGGTCTTCCCACAATGCATTGCGTCTAATTATTATTCACAATTACGATTTTCAACGAACGTTTGGCGAAAAGTTGTTGAAATACATTTCGATTTTGGCTCCGTTTATCTCGTTTTTTCGAAGGTATGTTTTTATATTTGTATTATTTAAGACCCTAATTAAACTGTTTTTGACTTGTTTGGTACAGGAATTGCTTTTT